GCAGGAATGTCTGTAAAAGAAAAAAAAAAATGCAGCAGCTCAGTCTAGATATTCAAAGTGGAGAGTACAGGGGTTTTCTCAGGAGCTGAGATTATTATCTGCCCGCTGGGTGGCTGGGGCCTGGAGTTCGCAGTAGGCATTGCTATCTAAGCATTTCTCAGTCGTCTAGCAGAAAGCACGGCACAAAGCACACCCTTCCCACAGCATTAACCACCACTCATGCTGGTCCTGGATTTCCTACATTAGGAAGCTGAAATCCCACCAGTTTGGTGGTGTCAGCTCCTTGCCACTGGTGCGACTGAGGCCTCAAGACCTGAGCGGACACCTGCCTCCATCTGGGCTACTCAGTATCTCTAGTGCAAACCCTGGGGAGGACTTGTCACCCCTGAGGAGTCTAAGAAAAGCCCACAGGGATGAGCTGGGAGGTAATTACCTGTACTGGTCTTTCCTTCAGACAGTGGATCCATCACCTGGTGGCTGAGGACTGACATCAGGTCCCATGTTGAATCCTTCTTTTTGAAGCCTTTTTCTCTTTCACTCTCCTTCCAAGTCCTGAGCACCATGAAGTGATTTCTTCTCAGGGGAAGATCTGAGTGAGTCACTGTAACCAAAAAGGATAGTGCTTGTAATGCAAGGCCAGCTCATCCTCAGCAGTGACACCCACTCCTCCTCCACTACTCATTCCAGGTCATCAGTGAGAACTGCTCCCTCCTCCCTGCAGGTATAGCTGCTGCCAAACTAACTCACTCTGAGCAAGTGAGAGGAGAGCCCTTGCTGTTCCCGGCACTGACTCACTTCTAGGCAAGGCATCAGAGCAGACATGCCTCTGGGCTCTGCATAGACCTCTGATGCGTTGTCACAGCTGGGGATTCAAACCCAGAGCTTTACAGGCCGGACCTTGGGCCGGACTAGCGTAGAAGTTTCCCATTCCTTCCCCATATTAATCAGGAAGAATAATAGGCCCTGGAGATTCAGCTGGCCTGAGACACCTGCACACTGTGATACCTTTGGAAACTTCCCCTACTCACTCTCCTTTACTCAACTGGCTCTCCCTTCCCCTTTCTCCCCAACCCTAATCTGTCACTTTCAGTGCTTCGTGTCCAATTTCAGACCAATTTTTATCCTGGTATAAAGTTCCTCCTGGATGGGCTAGGGCTAACTTTGATCTGAGGAATGCAGGGAGGAGAACGTCAGAGACTTGTCTTACCTTCAGCTTCTTGGAAGGAGGTGCACCAAAGGCCTTCCGTGCCACCGGTGCCACACGTCACTGCTGTCATATTGCCAGGAGCATCCCGGGGACACTCAAGTTGCTGCGTCCCGCCTCTTCTTTCGTGGAGGTGTTCCCTTTCTGTTCTGGTGGTGAATGCAGATGATGCTCAAGATGTGTCCAGCCTCAAGCTTTGAAGAGCCAAACTTCAAACTTCTCTTACAGCAGCTTTAGCTCAAAGTCCTATCATCAGTCATTAGTCAATGCAAGGTGAATGCTGAGCGTTACTATCTCAACAGGGAAAATGTCACAGAGCCCAACTCCGTTTCCAACCATGGCAACGGGCTTTTGTAGAAAGTTTTTTTGTGAACAAACACTCTGTCCTCAGATGCTCCAGAACCGAGGAGTCAGGCTTTCCAAGATCATGTTGCATCTGTCTGTGCCAGTAGGAACTCTTCTGTGTTGCACAGGCTGAGGCTGTGCTGGGACACAGCTCCTCTCTCGACTTCCTTTTGCTTTTGCATGGCAAACGTTCCTGCTGTCTCCGTACATCAGCATGGACATGATTTACTGCTCTGGGGATATTTTGCTCTGTATTTAGGATGTGTTTGTTTTTTCTTTTTTAATTCAAAGTATAAGGATTTATTTCCCTCTCCTCCTCCCATCGTCCCACAGTAACTCTGGTGTCTCTTCTCTCCACCTTAACATCCTCCCTTCTCCCAATCAAGACAGGTTACCCTTTCAAGGAATTAGCTCACAAGTTAAACTGAAACTCTCTTTCCTACTGAATGCACAGTATCACATGCCAGAGAAAGAACAGAGAAAGGGTAAAATTTGCCTTAGTACTGCGATGGCCTTGATTGGAATGAGCAGAAACTAAGACAAGAAGTAAATCAGTAAAAGCCTCTTCGGAGGAAAACATTAAAGCAGGTAGTAAATGCCTTGAAATGAAAAGCACTAAAAAAAAATCTAGTTTCTTAAAGTTTTCATTTGCTGAAGTTCTAAGATTTCCCTTTTATATTCTTTTTTCTTTTTTTTTTTTTGTTTAATTTTCTTTAATCCTTTGGAGCAAGAATGGAAGGTTGCCGAGCAAACAGAAGACCCATAGTAAGCCAGAAACGGGCATGGGTCAAAAGAAAGAAGTTCCCCTTCAGGACAGGGACATCTCTTCAGAAGAGGGAGGAGAGAAGAAGAAGGAGATATCCAGACGGGTAGGAACCCTCAGCCAATAGCTGCACTTGTATAAAGTCCTTGAAAGCCGCCAGCGCCAAGCGGCTGCCTCTGAAGTTGGGGATTATCTCTAGTTTCTTTTCAGGGGGTCTCATAAAATTGTCCGTTCCCCACAGTGGTGCAAGTAGTATCCTCAGCACCACCATATTGCATGGCTCAGGTAGGTGGGCAACCGCATCCTAAGGTGCCTCTCCCCCTTCACCTCCCTCCCCCCGCAAGCAAAGTTAATTCCTTTGCTGTGGGCTGTTGGACTGAGCACACCTCTTGTCTCGCCACAGCCAGAATCTCCCTCTGAGGAGAAGCTTCCTAAATACTCCCCCTTTTCCCTTTCATGTAACCCAGACTGCTGCCTCAATCGGACCAGCTCATATCACAGTAGCTGGTGGGCTAGGGGGCTCGGGTTGTGTCCCGTTGCTGGGCACAGGACTGGCTGTGGTTGAGGGTGGCAAGCTCTCCACAGACTCCCCAGACTGAATCTCAGGGGTCCTCTGTGGGCTGGGCTCTTCGGAGTGGTCCATATTGCCTTGAACTTCCTTCCCTCTTTGGATCAGCTGCTCTAAGGTCTTGGGCAAGGGGTAACTCAGGAAGCGCTTCAGTTTGGGCTGAAGAGTGCCTACCACATACTGGATAATCTCCTCCTCATCTGCATCAACATAGAGGGTCTGGTACAGGTCTCTCTTGCGCCAGAGGAACTGGTCCAGGGGCTCTCCCTCTTTCTGGGGCAAATCTAACTCCCTCTTGATAGCATCCCTAGTCAGAGTCCCCTCACTGTACTGCAGAAACTCCTTCTTGAACTCAACCCAGTTCTTCACAGAGTCCTGCTTGTATTCCCACCACTTTTTAGCTGGGCCATTCATGTGGTTTTGGATCTGAGACAGCCAGTACTCCTCTGTTCCACCTACCTGCTTCAAGTATTCCTCCAAGTGGCTCAAGAACTCCCTGGGATCCTCAAAGACCTGGGTCTCCACTGGGGAGGCTGGAGCATCCTCTGACACAGAGACCCACTGGTAGGAATCATGGCCCTGGGGGATGCTGGGTACTTCCCCAGGGGGAGGGGTCAGCGCATACATTTGGCTCATATCAAGCGCATAGTCATAAATCTCCCCCTCACTTGGCCTTATCTCTGGGCCTCCCACCCCAACGGACACAGTCTGCTTGCCATGGTCCCCAGGGCAATATTTGCCCCCCATGGACTCCAGACGGTCTGCCCATTTCTCCAAACGGAAAAACACCTCCTTCCAAACATTCATCTCTCTCTTGACCCACCTCTCCAGGTGGGCAATGGTCTCCTGGCACCTGGCCAGGCAGGCCTTGATGGACTTCTTCCATCTTTGGTTGTCAGTTGGGACATGGTCCTCCAGGTTATTCTCTAACTTCCCTACTGATTTCTGCAAGCCTTTCAGCTCGCGCTCCACCTGCTTGGACACCTCGGACAAGAGGTGCCGGTGGGTCCTCCTGACATGCTCCAACATCTCTGCCCTGCATTTCCCTATCTGCAGGATCACATTGGGCTTGTTGGCAACTCCACGGTGCCCCTGGAAGGAGTGGATGCCCGCATTGGTGACATTATCCAGCTGCATGGCTCCTACCGTACAAGGGTCAAACACGGAAAGAACTGGACGGTAAGCCCTGGCGCTGGAGCCTGCTCTCAAAAACCCCACCACAACACTTCTCAAGAGACACACAGAGACTTCTAAACCCCCCTCAAAGGACTTTTCAACACAAACACATCTAAATCAGATATCACCACAGAGCGAGCTGTTCGATCCTCGTGGATCCCAGAGAGAGTTGTAGGCAGATTTCTCCCAGTGTCCAGCTGGAAATGACGGTCTCACGTGCCCAGGGTGTCCCAGAAAGAACCAGATTCCTCCAGGAACGACGAGAGGAGTTGGCTAAGACGTTCAGCCCCGAACGCGTCCCCGCTACCCGCTCGTCTGGAGCTGAGAATCTCGAATGCTGAGAACACCTGCTCCAGTGAAATAAAAATGCACACAGAAGCTGGAAGCTGCTGCTAAAATCCCGGCGATTTCTTCTCTAGGAAACTTGGAGGCTGACAAGCGCTTTCACTAGAGATGCAAAGAGCTGCTTTTACTCCCTGTCTGAACTGCCACTAGTCCAGGCACTTCCATCTACTTATACCCCACACAGCTCAACACGTGGGTGGTGCCCTGCCTCCTCTCGCACTCTCAGCGCAGCGTTCATTGGAGGAGAAGCAAGGCCGGTGTCTGTGGCAACCCAGATCTTGGCAGCCTCCCCTCGCTTCCCACCCCCTCGCGCACGCCCCCAGACTCGACGCGAGAAGCACTTGAAAGGTACTGGAGACAGTTGGATAGATGGATGAGTAATCGCACCTTCCGCCTTTCAGATTGCAGGAAAAACACTTATTCATTCCACAACTATTTACTCAGCAAGGTCATCATTAGCATGCTTTCCCCTGGCAGGGCTCACAGAGGGGGAGATGAGGATGAATTCAGTGTGGCGCATCAAGCCAGCCACCCACAGGCCCCCGCATGCCCTCGCGTGTGCCCGCACACACACACACACACACACACACACACACACACACACAGAGCCTCTCACTCTTAATGCAAATGCTTCGAAATGGTGGTAATTTAGCAGAGGTTAAAAAAAAAAAAGAGGAGGGAGGAAGGAGAGGGGGAAACACTCTAAAAAGCCACTCCAGTACAAACTAGAGCACTCCGGACTTTCTAAAGCATTGGTAAGTGGGAGTCATCCCCGCTGCTTAATTACACCAGGCCAACTGCTTTCTTGGGAATATTCGGTAAGGGAGGGGGACGGGGACAACTGCATCCAGGTTTTTACACCAAATTAAGTCCGCCCATCAAAAGCCGTTTTCGTACTAAGCTTGAATCAGATGCTTAATCGGTTAGCCAACCCACAAGCGCAGATGAAGCTACATTTGTTCTTAGCTCTTGACAAAGCAGGAAAAGCCAACCATAAAAGGAGACCAGGGGCTTATATAAGCCACAGATAAAGGATTCCCTAATCAGACAGTGTTCCCCGCCGGAACTTCCCTCGGAGAGATGCTGAGGACTCCGGAGGCTTCTCCTCCCCTTGCAGGGACAGTGGCTGGGAGCACTGGGATGCTGATCAGTGAATATTACCTAGCAAGGGATTTCAAGCCCGTGACCAGCAGGGAGGTGTCTTGGCTCCGCTCAGGGTGGCGGGCAGGGTGCCAGGTCCCCGCTTCCATGGCTCCCTGCCCGGTGTTTCCTGGTGTGACTCCAGCCAGCCTGGTAAGAGCAAAGTATAGAGAAGATGGGTAGTTTTTCAGTGAGCACCTGCTGAAAGGAGTTCTCAGCAGCCCCGTGCATTTGTTCAAAGTCCCCTTATAGCAAACTGTCAGTAGTCAAGCTAAAAAGCTAAAGGAAGGGAGGGAAGGATCAGGAGGAGGGATCGAGAGGAGAGATCAGGACTCCTTCACCCACCCCCTTATTAATGTGCTCCAGGAGGACACAAGTCTGTTCCCTATCAGGTGACTTGGTAACAGCACATGGCCAAACAGTTCTGCCATATGGCTGCCGGGAAAATGGGAGGGCTATCTAGGGCAGCAGAGAGCTAACAAAAGGGTCATGCAGTTTGGCTGAAGGTAGGGCGTGCCAGTGAGAAAGGAAAGGGACAAAATTTTGAGGGTAGCAACCTAGGATCCCTAATTCAGCACATCTTCCCAACACTGCTTTATCACACACGGACATCATGATAGGGATTCGGGTGATGGAGAGTCCTATGCTCTTTGCCCTGCTGAAATTTCCACTTTTATCCAGCTCTTCTGAGCAGGAGATTTTTGTGCATGCATGTTTGTGTTTGCAGGGGGTCAAATGTGGATCATCTAAAGGTTTGGGATAGGTTTGGAGCCTTTCATGCTGTAGTCTCTATATCCCTTAAGCCTGCCTTGTATGTAAAAGGTCCAATGGATTGGGAGAGGCTGTGCAATCTATGTATCTCCAAAGCAATGCAAAGTTTTCCTCCAAAAGAATTTTCACCTAGGATCCTCAGAAATGGCCCTCACGAGATTGCAATCAATGGAGACAAGCTATAGATTGGATTTAGCTTTGCAGGGTGATGTGTTTTCAGCTTCACCTTATCCCATCAAATGTCAGAGCCTAGGATGAATTAGCTGTAAAGTCTATTCCACCATACCTATCTCCTTTCCATCCCTGCTACCGCCTTTTCCTTTTCCCTTAGTTTTCAGGGATGGGGATTCATCAGGACCTGAATGGCATCACTTGACACTTAGGTCTGGTCACAGGATTACAGGATAATTCAGGCTGGAACATACTTTAGGAGGTCTCTAGCCCAACCTCCTCCTCTAAGTAGGGCCAGCTAGGAGGTCAGACCATGTTTTTCAGAGCTTTGCAGAGTCAGGTCTTGAAAACCCTGAGGAGAGAGACTGCATAACCTCTCTGGGCAACCTGTTCCACTGCTTGACTGTCCTCAGAGGGAAAATGTCCAGACTGAGCCTCTCATTTCTGTTTATACCCATTGTCTCTTGTCCTCCCACCATGTACCATTGTGAAGAGCCTGGTCCATCTTCACGATAACCCTTCCATAGGTACCGGGCGGGGGTTGAAGGGATCCAGGGGTTGCTGTTAGATCTCCCAAAGCTGTCTCTTCTCCAGGCTGGACAAACTCGGCTCTCTCTGTCCCTCCTCACAGGCCAAACGCTCCAGCTGTGACCATCTTGATAACCCTTTGCTGATCTCGCTGCAGTTGATCCATCTTACATCAGGGAAGCCTAAAACTGGACACAGGATCAAGAGGTGCCCTAATAGGTGCTGAGTGGAGGGGCATAACCATTCCCCTTGATCTCCTGACTGTCTTTCTGTTCATATAGCCCAGGATACCTCCCTTGCTGCCAAGGCACACTGCTGGCTCATGCTCAGCTCACTGTGCCCTCCAGGACCCCAGGTCTTTTTTTGCACCCTAGCCAATCAATCTTAGCCTGTATTGTTGCCACAGGCTCTTTCTTCCGAGGTATAGGACGTTGCATGTGTCCTCATTGCATTTCATGAGGTTCCTTGGCCCTTTCCTCATCCTATCTTGATCTTGAGGTTCATCTCATTCTGCATCCTTTTCCCCTGGGTCTCCTCCTGATCTGTGTACTCTTCCATGGAGGTGGAGGGGGAAGGGGAGGAGGAATGGGGGTTTTCTTTTTGGTCTGGCTGGGGAATGATTAAGACATAGTGATAATCATTTTCATTGTATTTCTAATTAAAGGAAGCTGTGTGGGTAGAAGAGGAGGAGAGAGGGGAGCCGGAAATGAAGGGAGGAGGGAAAGGCAGAGCACGGAGAGGCAATTTGAGGCAGACCGATGAGATCCAGGCACAAACAGACAGACATGAAAGGGCAGAACAACCAGACTCCTGTTGAAATTAGCTGCCTGGCCTCAGATGAACCGTCAATGAGACGGACAGAGGTATTGGCAGCATGTAGTGCTTTGGGTGACCATGGGAGGTGCAAGATGAGATGGGGGGGGGGACACAAAGAGCAGAAAAGGAGGTGGGAAGTCAGTGGAGGGAGAAGAAAAAGACGGGAGGAAGAAAGAAAAAGAGTGAGCAGTAAGTAGGGGTAGTTTCCTCCAAAATAGCTTGCAGAAGCAAGAAAAAAAACAAAGGAAAAAAAAAAAAAAGAGAAAACTAAAACTGGCAAAAACCGTGTCTCATAGCTCAGCGGGAATGGTGTCAATGTGGGTTGTCTCCCTAGAGCTTTCTGAACAGTGTAAAGGCACAGGAGATTAGGGTCAGGCCCAAAACATCAGAAAAGAAAAAGAGAAAAGCCAACAGACTGGTTATAGGCACACAAAAGGCATGCATGACAGCAAGCAGCGACAGAAAATCCTTCCATGGGGAAAGGAATGAGGCAAAAGGGGCAGTGAGCTGTGGCCCATTCTGACCTGTTCCCCAGGACATCACAGCCGGAGCCCAGAGGTACTTGATCTTTGCGGGGTGCCGGCTTTCAGCACACCACGCCTCAGCAGAAGGCAAACCTGCCTTTTGAGTTTTTGCTATACTGGTTGACATCCTTTGGCCATCTGTCTGGATAGGTGTTTTGCCTTTCCAGTGCAGACCTGCACCATGGTAGGACCTCAGGGCATGCTGCTTCTTGGGGATGGGTTTGAGCTGCGAGCCACCATCCAGCTGAAGCTGCTGGGTGAGTGAGACAGGGCGGAGATGCCAGGGCATGGGGATGTCTTTGGTGCAGTCGAGTTGTGCCCTCTTTCAGTATCTCAAACTAAGAAGAGCTCTGCTAGGGGATGCATTCCCCTGCTGCACAATCAAGGTCCCTCCTCAGTTACGCACCGTGATGTGCACAAAGTGGCCTCTTGATACTCTGTCCAGAAAGCCCCATCCTTCATCAAGGACTGCACGATCAGCCTAAAGTTAGAAGTCTGCAGACAGGTGTGCAATTAACCCCACACCCTTGCAGGGACTAATTTTTTTCTAATGACAAACAAGGGATTGCCAGTGTTATCCTAAAGCTGCCGTGCTAGCAGAAATCCACCTAGAATTTTCCCTTTTGCATCCAGAAATGCTTCCTCTTTCTAGAAGGAAATGGAAAAATGAAGCAAAACAGAAAAAGCGCAGCCCTCCCCTCCACCTCCATGCCCCTTCAATCTCTACAGATCCTCCTATAGATTACCACGTTTGTTTGCCAGCCATTTGTTCACTGGTAGCGAAATCTTCAAAAAAGGAAGAAAATAAAGAGAAACCAAGGTGTTAGGCTTTTCCTATTTTTTTTTTTTTAAAAAGAATACTAACAATAATAACCCGTTTAATTTACACCATATGTCTCTATTCAAACATCCCCAGCCCTGGAACACTTTATTCCGTCGGAGCCGCCACTCATAAGGCAGAGCCTCGCGTTCACAACGCGGTTCACGTCAGCGACTGCATTGTTCCTGCTGGCTCGAAGTGGTCGCCCATTGTGCTCCACTGCCGGAGCCCCCACGTCACATGGATGGAGGGCGGAGAAGTAAGTGGGGAGGTAAGGGCAGACCGCTATCAATATTAATAATGAACATAATAATAATAATTAGTATTAGCGCCATTCCTGTTGGCGCTTAGGAGCCTG